ATGACTTCAACTGAAAACAAAGTCAGTTTCAGAAGGGGAGCAAGTTTTATTCATTTATTTGTTTTATTTATAAAACTAAACAGCCACCTAACCATCAGATAGCTGTTGGTAGAAAATCAAAGTTGTTTGACAGTTTTTGAAACTGACAGCATTTGTATGAAACAGGACTTTATATGGAAAAGAGCGACTTGGACATTGTTAAATTACTTTTGTGTTCCGCAGAAGTGTTTGCAACTTTTGGAGACAAGCTATAGTCCTTTAAAGCCTCTAAACAGGTGCAGAACATACAGGAAATTACTTCTGACTGCTAAAAACTGAAGCTTGGAAGAAGTCTAAGTTTAAAGTCCTGATCCCAAGAAAATATTAAATTAAGCTACATGCCCAGTAAACAAAAAAACTACAGTGCACAAACATAATCTTAAAACTTAAAAAACAAGAATCACACTTGAACAATGTGTGAAGCCGATACATACATACCTCAAAAGCTGATTGTCACATGGCATTAATTTATTTCTGTTTTTAAGAATATCACAGAGAATGAAACTTCAATGTAGGACTTAAGATCACTGTATATTACCAGGTAACACTGAAGATGATAGTTCACCTGAAAATGAAAATTCTGTCATCCTTTATCATCCTTTAGTTCCAAACCTGTTTGTTTTAAATTCTTCTGTGGAACATAAAATATATTTTAAAGAATGTTGGTAACCAAACAATTTGGTGAGCACTGGCTTCCATTGTATGGACAAAAAACACAGACATTTCTCAAATTATCTGTGTATGTTCCATAGAAGTCATGCAGGTGAGTAAATGACCGAATTTTCACTTTGGGTGAACTCGTTAAAGACACACATTTTTATTGAAGTCTTGATTACTCTAAAGAATCAGGGACCCAAAGAAACAGTCAATATATCTACATTTCACATTCAAAACTTTATTGCACAGATCATATAAAGACAAAATATAAAGCAATTATTTTCATATGCATCTGTGATAAAACAGTCTTGAGAGATTTTTGCCTTTGACAAAACCATAACAGTGCTAATGTGCGGTAACTCCAGTAACTCCACAGCTTTTCTTAGCCAGATGGACAGGCATGCAACACATTTCCAGTTATTGTTAAATGTAACATGCTACACATTAGCCATTTACTAGTGCAAAGAAAAATCAGAACAGAAACATATATTACAGTTTAACCAGTTTGGGTCAGTCAGTCTGGCTTCATTATGAAGCATCTACCCTGACTGTTCCCTTAAAATAGTCTCCATTCTACACTGAATCTCAGTCTCTCAGTCCATTCAGGTACAAGGTGAGGTCCAAACCAGCCTGCAGGCTCCTAGAGTTACTGACGTCCTTGCGTGCATCTGCGTAGACTCTCAAGGGACTGCAAAAATGTGCGCCGTGCTTTGTCTTCCTCCACTGTGAACGGTCCTTCCTCGTCCACCTCCTCAGCAATCTTGTCGCAGCTGAACTGGCTCTTCCTTTGCAGGACGGAGCGGGCCCTGTTGCAGTCTTGGGTCCTGGACAAGCCCACCATCTGGGGAAATTCCTTCAAAGCCAAGGACATTCGGTGAACAGCCAAAGCATTCAAATGGCTCATCTCCACTGCATGTGTGGACATTCTGGAAGTTTATAGGTTTGGATGAATGAGGAAGGTTTCTTTCAAATTCCTTTTCTAAACGAAGCTCTTGCAAGGTGAGTCAGTCTCCAAATCCACGCTTTTAAAGCAGAAAGCCAGACTGCTGGTAGAAGAAGATGAAGAAACTGGAGGGAAGCTCTTCTGTCAGATTGCAGCTCTTGTTCTGTATCCGTCTCGAGCATTTGTAAACCAGAGTTGCTGCGAGGCTTTATATAGGCCTTCTCTTCCCACACAGTCCTCACAGCTCCTCCTTCATCACAGGACTGTCACGCTTCCGACTTCCATTCCTATTCTCCGGAATCACCCCCAACCAAATACTGCCTGGAACAAACACGCATGCGGTGTGCAACAGGGAGGGGGCTGAGGCACGGCACTCGAGGATTTGGCACTCAAGACACAACATGAGAGAGATCATGCACATCTATCAGAGGAGATGGACGTGAAACCCAGCAGATGGCCTTTTAAGCGCTGCTACAAAGCTACAAAATTCACTTGCATCAAGTCCCAAAGAACACAATTTTGGTAGCATTTAAATGCAAAGGGGTTGGACACAGATGGTTCTTCAGGGGAGAAATAGATAAAGGCGAGAACGGGCATGGGGGAAACTCTGATGTGAAGTCTGGTGAGCTCAGGACTCAGGAGTGCCGTTCTGACTGATAGTAACTAAGACAGCCCAAGTAGACGATCCCAGATGGGATGAAAACAGACACTTCACAATACTACTTCGATCAGATTGGAAATCTTAGAATGATTACTTTGAATAAATTTAAAACTGAAAGAAATTACATTTTAAAAAATGCAACAGAAACAAAGGCCTTTTGTTTAAAAAATTATATTTCCAATTAATGATGGTTAATTTGAACTCTATTCATCAAAGTATCCTGGAAAAAAAATGTATCAGTTTCCACAAAAATATTAAGCAGCACATCTGTTTTCACAGATAATAATAAGAAATGTTTCTTGAGCACCAAATCAGCATATTAAAATTTCTGAAGAATCATGTGACACTGAAGACTGAAGTAATTGCTGCTGAAAATTCAGCTTTGCCTTCACGGGAATAAATTACATTTTAAAATATATAGAAAACAGTTCCTTTAAAGGGGTCATATGATGCGAATTAAATTTTTCCTTTCTCTTTGGAGTGTTACAAGCTCTTTTATAGGCAAAGTGCTCAAATTTCATTGGCGGCCATGTTTTTTTAGATTCCCAAATGTCCTTATAGACCAGGGCTGTCCAAACTCGGTCCTGGAGGGCCGGTGTCCTGCAGAGTTTAGCTCCAACCCTCTGGTCCCATTCATTTACATGGAGAGGGCGGGGTTTATGACCTGTACTGCAGCCAGCCACCAAGGGGCAATCAAAGAGCCCGCAGCTTCACTTTTCAAGACGTGCGAGGCACACCCATTATAGACACTTGTGCCACTTTGGACAAAGACACTATGTACCAATTTTCATGTTGATCGGACAAATGGTTGCGTAGTTATAGAGATTTTTATGTTTTTTTTCCTCTTATAGCGCCACCAAGTGGCCAAACTCCATGAATTTTTCATGTGACCTCAGATTGAGCTCTTACATGAGTGTCCTGAGTCCAACGATATCTCATTCCATTCAAAAGTTATAGCCGTTTTAGTAAAAGTGGACCTGCCCCTTTTGAACGTTTTGGCATGTCGAAAGTACAACTTTTTTTTGATAATTATTGATATTCACTCTCCAGAGAATCTTTCTGCACTGGTTTGGTTCCGATCGGGTGAAAAACCTAGAACTAGTTCACAAAAGTAGGTTTTTCAAAAAAAACTAAATACCCGAAAATTTCACCAGGCTGACTTGAGCACTAGAGCCTGCGGTTTAGGAGTTATAAGCGATTTAGTACTTTTGATTGCTGTAGTGCCCCCGTCACGCCGATTGGGGCGAGCCTTGGTGACATAGACGGTATACTATCATCCCTCCAAGTTCAAGTCTCTATGACTTGGGTTTGGTCTGCCCAATCAGTTTAACATGGAGATTGCTGATCCTTGGCCATTCGAACAATTACAATACAATAAGGTTTCAGCGCTACGCGCTTGGACCCTTAAGAAATATTGACCCCAAACTGTTGATCGGTACTGTAAATTTGTGACACTGATCATAACTCTTTGCACAGAAGTTAAGATATCCTTGCTTCCACTGAAGCACACAATTATATATATCTTTGCTACAGAATGATGATCTATTAAAGGAATTAAGCCATGCCAAAATCATCATGATGACAGTCTTACTGAATAGTGTCTAAACTTTCTCCTTCCATCTTTATCAATTTACCACAAACACAGCCATGTGCTATATAACAATATATGCATTATAATCAATGTCAACTAACAGCTCCCTTTTTGTGTTTCAAATCCATCAAACATAAGAGTTAGCAACATTATTAGAAAGATGATTTTATTTGAAATGCAAGATCAATTCACAAGCAGGCATATTGAGTGCATTAAGTCTGCTGTTGCAGGCCTTAGACTTTTGTCTTGTAAAAGTTGTTCATGACTTCTAAGAACAGTTTCATTTATAATGAATTCAGGAATTCTGTTTTGGAGAAAACACTGCATAATCATTGACCAGATAATAACGTAATAACAGCCTTAGCTTTCAAATAAACTGGTGTCAGAGTTGAAATTTGCTTCCTGTCACCAGCAGTACCAGCATTACAAAGTTAACCATACAGGACGTACACAAACTTTCCACAACAATGTTAAGTGCAATATAAATCACATCTCCATTCAAAAAGATGCTCTAAAGATAGAAAGCATAGTGCCATCTGTGATGGGCACAAATAGTTCATGTAGTGCATTTAGTTTAAACTGCTGAGTCAGATGAAAAAAAGCAAATATGGACCAAGATTATTAGTGCACCATTTTGTAGACGTTGCAGATGCAATTTTTAAATGATTGAGGGCAACCTGCCTAATTTCAGTCACATCAATTATGTTAATGGAAGTGCTGTTGCGCTTTGAGGTTTGCAAAAGGTTGAGAACATTTTTCTCATTATGTATGTTCATCACATGACTATTATCAGAGAACTACTAATTTACTTTCTTTAAACATTTACTTTCTTTAAAAGAAAGCCAAACAAACTGCACTGATCAATGCTGTTAGTGACTGTTAGGAACTTCAGCTATTCTGTGGTTGTCTTACCAAACTAATAAGAACTGTTTGCCAGCAAAGGCTGTTCAAGCAAATCATGTTTTGGTTAGCTACGACTCAATACACCACCCTAATGTCTGGAAAATACATTGCTTGTTTTGAACCATCTCAGGAGCAGTTGGGTGTGAGTGCTCTTGGCCCCTGATAGCAAAAGGGAAGAGAGATTGGGGATTTTTCTTTTTTTTTTTGTTGGTCCCTCCTTTCCTTTAATCACACCATCCCTTCATCCCTCTGTCTGTCCCTTTTCTGTTTCTAACCTTGCTTCTGTTTCTTCAGATAGCGTGCACGTTGGGACAACCCCATGCTCATAACATATTTGTTGAGCAGTTTTGCAGGAAGCAGAGCAGTAGTCACCCAACCCTGCATCAATGACATAATAACAGACTTGTTAGACTGTCAAAATACAGAATATGAAAATAATCCACTTTAGTACTATAGTTTATATCATATACAAGCTTCCATTATTCCAAATGGTCCTATTAAACATAGTTTGTAGAATGTACACTACTGTTCAAAAGTTTGGGGTCAGTGCAATTCTTTTTTATTCAGCAAGGGTGCATTAAATTGATCAAAAGAGACAGTAAAGACATTAATAATGTTATAAGATTCATATTTTAAACAACCAAATAAATGCTGTTCTTTTGAACTTTCTATTAATCTAAAAATTCTGAAAAAAAAAAAACGTATCAGTTTCCAAAAAAATTAAGCAGCACAATTTTTTTCAACTTGTATAAATGTTTTATTTTATATACTAATTTATAATATTTAACATAAAATAACATTTATTTTAAATTGTAATATTATTTCATAATATTACTTTTTTTTAACTGCATTTTTGATCAAATAAATACTGCCTTGGTGAGCATAAGAGATTTCTTCCAAAAACATTAAAAAAAAATCTTACTGACCCCAAACTTTTGAAGAGTAGTGTATAATTAATTCATTGTAGACCTGGACACTGAATTAAAGATGAAGACATTTTAAGAGGGTCTCACCATGACGGCATGAGGGAAGTAACCATTCGACTGAGTCTGCAGCCCTACAGTGCACAGCTGGGCTTTAACATAGCGTTCCGGAGAGGGGATGTCAAGAGTGGCCCTCCTGATTTTGCTCAGTTTGGTCGTCACATAAAACGGCAGCACACTCTTCAAAGAATTACACAAGACACTTTATCAGTGTAAGCAGTGAACATCATTATTACTAGCAAAAAAACAGATAAGACAGATAGACAGACAGACAGAGACAGAAAGAGAGAAAGCGACAGACAGAGAGAAAGCGACAGACAAGAGAGAAAGAGACAGACAGACAGACAGAGAGAAAGAGACAGAGAGAAAGAGACAGACAGACAGACAGACAGAGAGAAAGAGACAGACAGACAGACAGAGAGAAAGAGACAGACAGACAGAGAGAAAGAGACAGACAGACAGATAATCAAATGGCATTACACTTAAATTAATCTTTGCATATTTACGTCACTCTTTTTAGTAAGCAACTAATATAATGTCTGAATTCTGTATAGACTTTAATTTTTAAACTACTGTTAATAAATTACCTGTATAATAATCCCTTTGCTTTTGTATTCAGCAGCAAGACCACGGGAGAAGAAGTCCACAAAGGCCTGGAGGTGTGAGAATAATCATGTAATGTGTGTCCTTTAAAATCATGAAAGTTAAAAAAAATAATAATAATAATAACCCAGTGCATCAAGCTGCAGTAGCATTCTAATATCAACAACTAATTTGCTCAAAATAGTGCTGCTAACCATACAGCGTACAGCAACATCCTCTGAGAACTTTAGCAACAAAAGACAAGACAGACTTTTCTCACAAAGATATGAAAGACCTGATCCAAGGTAGAGAAAAGAAGAGAAAGATGACTTGCCTTCGAGGAAGAATAGAGGGTGAGGAGAGGAACTGGGTACATGCCACTCGCTGAAGCAACATTCAAGATCACTCCTTTAGACCTAGAAAGAGTCGTGTTTTTCCACCAATTAATGTTCGAACTGTCGTAGAGCAGCATGTAAGCATGTTTTCTACAGACAACAGTGCTTAAAATGTCCCATGTATTTGTTCCATTTTCACTTGACTTTAGACAGCACAGAATTATCCCTTATAACACACTGGTACCTGCTAATGGATTCTTGCATCCCTGTTGCTATGGCAACTGGTGCCCATGTTGCATTATGTACTAGTGCACACCAGACTCTAGGGCTCTAGATGGGAGGAGCTACAGATACTTTTAGTCTGGCATTTTATTCTCCAAACTTAGAAAGACCCTAACTAAATAAAATGGTTGGAAAAAATGTCCCTAAATGTTTTCTATTAATTATATGTGTCATTTCGGCATGACACAGTCACAGCCTCTGCCATGAGAAATAATGAAAGGGTTAGTTCACCCAAAATGAAAATTGTATCACTTGCTCACCCTCATGTTGTTCCAAACATGTATGCATTTCTGTTGAACACAAGAGTAGATATTTTGAAGAATGTGGGTAACCAAACAGTTGCTGGTCCACAGTGACTTGACTTCCACTGAAAAAATGCTATGGAAGGCAATGGGGACCAGAAATGTCTGGCTACCCACATTCTTCAAAATATCTTCTTTTTGAACACAAGAAAGATTTTTTTTGGGGGGGTGAACTATCCCTTGAACAGCTTATCATCAACATGCAACATTAATAATTTCCAGTGTGACAGATCAAATGATCAAAATATGTAAAAGTGGAACATTTGTTCATGATTACTGGACTGAAGTGTGTAGGAAGTAAAGGCCAAAACCACTACGTAAGCATGGAATGACCGAACCGCACAAAAATAACCACATGAAATTTTGCATGACACACTCCTGTGGGACATACTAGTTAGTCATAATGCTTCAAGTAAGAATCAATCCATCTGCTTTACCAAACACTACTTTGAATGTCAACAGAATCAGAGTGTGGTCATTTCTAAACTTACCTATCTACCATCCTGGGCAGTACCAATCGAGTCATCTACAATAGTGCAGGGATAGAGCATATGAATCAGATCTACAAGCTTTAAAGACTATTACACAAATAAACTAAATAAAATAAATGATTATAAAATCTGATAAATTCCAACAATCTTTTCAGTAATATTTCACATATGCATAAATGCACACTATAAACCTTAAATCTGTCCCATGAATGGACATGTTTTTTTGCAAACCACACACACTGTATTGACAGAATAATACATTTTGGATCCTGAAGGTGGCAGCATAGACTCAAACTTTCAGACTGTATAATAAAGACCTGCAGAGGCAGTGAGCTACACATGAATGAGTCAAATTTGTTAATCACATTATGAGAAATACATTTTTCCTTGATAAAAGAATAAAAGTTAAATGTAATATGAAAACATTGTTACAATCAGAACGCAAAACCTTCCTTTCCAGTGCACAAAGGAGTTGTGCAACATTCTAATTCCAAATCAATGAATACATTAACACATACACACATGACCACCATCATTTCACACCAACAGCACTTACTTTGTGTTCAGAAACTTGGCCTGCCAAGACAGTATGGTAATACAGAGGAAGCTGGACAGACCCTATTACTGTTACAAAAATGTAGGCAAAAAGGGCATTTATATAGGAGTCTTAAAAGCATGCCAGCAAAAAAAAAGACCAAAAACTAAATTATGACTTACATGACAAATTATAAAAACTATGTTATGACTGTTTCTGTCATTTATACTAAGGATGCACAGATGTATCTGCCAATAATCAGTATCAGCAGATAAATCCAATCAATACCGATACCAGTAAATGATCAGGGCCGATTATATTCTATCAATCAAAAGGGGATGGGAAAACGTGCCAGAATTCATCTCGTGTGTGAAGAAAATGCGAACAACACATTAATGCAATCTAAAAAAATTAAATAAAATGCTCCACTAACGCAGGTTCAATTTGAACCAATGAATCACCCATAGTTCAAGCCATGGTTGCCAGGTCCATAGTTTCCCCTTTACCAAACATTATTTGTAGCTCACCTCCCATCCAGTAATTGCAAAGAGCTTTATGCTTTGTTACTTGATAAAACTTTTTTTTTTAAATCAGCTCTCAAATTCTGTCCATTTTATAACAAAATTCAAATATTAAATGCAGTTTTGATGCTCTTAAATGTAAAGCACTGAGGTGCTTACATTATAGGACATTAAAATAAGCACCTTTAATATTAAAGGGGTCATATGATGCGATTTCAATTTTTTCTTTCTCTTTGGAGTGTTACAAGCTCTTGGTGCATAAAGAAGATCTGTAAAGTTGCAAAGACTAAAGTCTCAAATCCAAAGAGATATTCTTTATAAAAGTTAAGAGTCAGCCACGCCTACCTAAAACGGCTCGTTCTAACACGCCCCCACATATCTACGTCACTATGTGGGAAGATTTGCATAACGCCGCCCAAATGTTCACGCAAAGAAAGAAGGCGTAACTTTTATTCTCGCTGTAGTATTGTTGCTGCCGCCATGTTGTGAAGGCGCTGTGTGTTTCGTTGTGAAAGCTAAACTACTTTGTTCGGCCTTCCAAAAGAGGATGATATCCGCTTCGGCATGCCTAGAGCTTGATCCGTGCTGGTCGCTGAGGAAATACATCAACTTCGCGCTGTGGATCGCCGGATCAGCTTTCACCGTGGACAAAGCGGAGTCCAGCCCGGGGTCATCACATGTGCTTGCCGCCATCATATGACCCCTTTAAAGTAACGTTCCATGAGATGGCCCCAGCATAGTTTACAGAATTAGTTGAGAGATATTTTTATCAGTATCGGCAGATGTCATTCTGAATATTCGGCTATCGTATCGGCGGAGAAATTATGTATCAGTACATCTCTAATTTATACATACACTTTGTTTTCAGAGTCACAGTGGACGAGTAAAGGCTGTTTCTAAGACTTGAGTGAGGAGCAACTTTCTCTTACCTGACAAACTGATGTAATGTTGATGTTGATCATATTGCTGATGAACTGCAATCACAACTGTCAATTCGTTACCAACCAAAACAAACAGCAACAAAACAACTCAACAGACAATTATACTTCTATTAACCAAATGGAAGTTTTGCGTAATGCACAAGTGGCTACACAAACTCACACTGTCAATATTAGGAATGTTGAGGAAGAACTCTGGGTAGGAATAAGACACTCCAACATTGTTAACTGCAGGAGGAAGAGACATACAAGAATTTAAGAGCAGGTTATTAAAAAATACTTGCAAAGCGCTTGAGCAATAATAATAATAAAAACAGATTATTTTAAAAAGAGATCTGGAAACACAGATAGTTCCCTCCACCTTCCCATAGCTGGCAGCAAATACTAAAGCATCACTGAAGAGACAATTCCACTATCAACTAAATTATAGGTATGTAACATACCTAAAACTCCTATTTCCAGTCCGGCCAGTCCAGACTCAATCTTCGGGTAGATGTCCACAGATCCAAAGTCAGCAGAAATGGTTTTGGTCTCTACATTATACTTGCTCTCTGGGGGAACAAAAGGAAAAGCAGACAATTGCAAAACATTAGGAATGCAAGTGCTTTATGGAATGTCATAGAATGTTAACAACATGATGCAACGCTGTCTTGCATTGGTTTGATTCGATGAAAGCGAGACACTGTTTTCAATGTAAAAATTCCAATAAATCAATTGCAGTTTCTCTTCACCAGAGCATCATTCAATTCTGTTAAATACACAAAAATGCTCTGTTGTAAAAGTACTTTAATTACGGAAAATTTCTGAGAATATGGATGGAGGAGAGCGAACGAAAGAAACACAGAGAACTCCATTCACATACTTGCTGTAGTAGACACTGCTCTGCTTCATTGAAAGAAATTTGACATGTATATACACTATGCATTCAGAAAGGAACTAGGAAACACTAGGAAAATGGGGGTTAAAAAGACACAATATCGTAATAAATCTACACACAACCTGGTGAGAATTTGCTGTACTGGTGTATAATGGTATCTATTTTTAAGTTCCTCAGGTCTTCACAACTAAATAAATATTAAACATAAGAAATATTACTTTTATTATATCTAACTGTAATAAAAATCTAGAACTTAAGAAAAACAATACTAAATTTATTTTACAGTACAACTATAAAATGACAAAACTAATGTTTACATCTTTATTTCTTCATTTCCAATCAAACTTTTATTTTAGTAGAAAGCCACAGTTATAAATGCCTCTCATTAAAAGTTAGGGAAGACGGTTGATGCATTACGTTCTCAACTGAATATTATAAGCTCATTTGCTCTGAGACACTGAAAACACCAGATCACGAGCTGCTCATGTGTAAATGATTACAGTGCCCAGCTTCATATTTCATATTTATTTCATCAAATCCCACTAAGCCATACTGCGATTTTAGTTTAATTTTGATTAATCGTGCAGCCCTATTAAAAACTGTATAAAACACAAGTTTGAATATAATACACCATACCGAAGTCCCGCCCATTTGGAGGACTACACCACACATGTAACGCAACAGTCATTATGTCCATCACTTTTGTCAAATAATTTTTCATCCGATGAAAGATGCACATGACTGTATTTGCCAGTGTTCAGCGGAGGTCACTGGGCTGATTTCCTCCATTTGATGCGCTCTTACTCTCTCTCATCCCCGCCATGACATCTCCAGGATCCACCTCGTCACTTTTGTCAAATAATTCCAATTGCATCCGATGAAAGATGCACATGACTGTATTTGCCAGTGTTCAGCGGAGGTCACTGGGCTGATTTCCTCCATTTGATGCGCTCTTACTCTCTCTCATCCCCGCCATGACATCTCCAGGATCCACCTCCATCTGTAAAGTCGCGCTCTGCTGCAGCAGCCAGGCAGCTCAACTGGCAGAGTGCCTGCCTTTCAACACAGAGCTAAAAATAACTCCGCTCATTAACATCCACATTCATTTAGCAGAGGGAGACACTCGCTGCCTCACAAACAAGAGCAGTACTTGCTCCTCACGACTCTTTCACACACACACACACGAATAGGTACCCCACAGGTCCTCTGCACACAAGCAAACACAAACGCACATTTTCCAGCACATGGGCACACACACACGTGCATGCATGCTCTAAATCATGCCATCCTCCTCAGATCAGGAGTCAGCCAACCAAAGGACAAGAAAAAATGAATGGGGGCGGGGGCATCTGCAATTCAGCCACTGCTGCTCCATTCATTCAACGATGCCATACTAGGAGATCCTGCCTTTGCTTTGTTCTTGTGGTGCCAGTGGTATAAAGAACACAATCAAAAATGAATTATACGTATAAAATTGTAAATGATTAAAATATTTTTTTTGAAATTTAATGATTTCCTTTTCTACAGCAACACAATGCACATAAAACAACAGAATTAGGAATACAATGATCAGAGTATTAATTTCATAATAGTGTATTTTTAAATAATGAATAAACAGAGTGGTCGCATAACCAAACAATATCTGGCCATTTTGACACCGTCAATAACAAAAGCTACAAACTTTGTCCATAAATAGCAGTGTTATTCTACTATCATTGACATATTTTAAAAGTCACATTTTGAATTAGTTTTAATTTTTATATTTTCCATAATGCGTGTAATGCAGACCTTCCCTGAAAGCGCTCCTCCTGATTCACAAATGCTTTGTAAAACATAAACAATAAACATAAAAATACCGCCCATGAATTACAACTATATGAATTATGTATACAGGAAGGCTGTGGGATCTTCTGGACTCCTTTCTCAGGTATGGGTCCAGTAATTTCCTTAAACGCAAAATAGACTAATTGTCCATATGCATAATAAAAATATAAATAAAGTGTCAATCTTGCAGACAAATACTACACACACTCTGAATAATTTTAATCTATAATAAAAAGGAACATGGACTATGCAGCTGTTATAAATCATCAGTGAAATTTATTTTCACATTTAACTAACTGATTTAGTTATTATTTATATTAGTCGATCCCCTGCTGGCCTCACTAACACCTCTTCAATCAGAAACCTAGTTTTCCCAGGAGGTCTCCCATCCAGGTACTGACCAGGCTCAACCCTGCTTAGCTTCAGTGGGCAACCAGTCTTGGGCTAAATAACATTACATTTTACATTTTGATAATACAAGCACTTTCATAAAAAATTGTCAAGAATGGCTGTATGAATGATTTACGGAAAATTCATTTCTGCTTGCGTTTAGTAAACGAGGTCGATACAGTGTTATTACAAAGATCTAAGCAGACACCTACCAATAGCTTTGGACACTTCATCCAGCTTCTCTTGAGTACGGCTGATGAGAACGATAGCAAAACCTCGTCGAGCAAGCTGCACAGAATCAGAAACATTTCACATTATACATTATTATTATAATTTTATTATTTTCTTTTGATTATACATTAAATCACTTATGATCAGATCATAGTTACAGTAAACTAGCCTTCACAATCAAATCATCCATTTCCATCCGTATTACCATCAAAATGATCCTAATCATCCTAGTGCACTATTACAGAATCAGATCAAAACAGTTTATAACAAAAAGCACAATTCATAAAGGCCATCAAACGGTAGAAATGAGAAGCAGCAGGGTGGAAAATGCTTGCCGGTTTGTCGACTGTACGCGGCAAACCTTTGAGAGTGGAGTTCTCCCTGAACTCTGACTGAGACCTCTAATTTGATGACTCAATGTGATTTCCCTGAAGAGAGAGGAAAAAACACAAAACCTGAGGAATCTTACCTCCTCCGCATAGGATTTTCCAATTCCATCGGTGGCCCCAGTCACAACTATAGGGAAAAAGACAATAGTCAACAGTCAAGCACACTAAATGCACACCACGTAACTCAACGTATGTGTAAAGACACGCTGATAGGAGATGTAATTATGCATTTTGATAAACAGTGCAAGCTTTTACTGTCGTGAGAGAAGACGTCATTAAATTCGGCCATAAAAACTAACTGTATTATTTTCAATTAAAAAAAAAAAACTAAAGTGTCCAGGGACATGTTAAACATGGGTGGGTGCCTGCTGATGAGAGCATGAAAATGTCAGCAAGTTCCTGTACCGTTTTTGATTAGTTGTCCTGGCTACACCTAGACAACAAGCCCCGTTACCCCTCAAACGTGGTTCACCTTTGTAAAAAATAGCTTGAAGGCAAGCAAAGAGGAAAACGGCTTCACATTTATAGAAAGAGCAGACAAGCTTGAATTCATGCTCTGTTCCCTGTTCACCGGGCACCAAGGACACGGGACACACATCCCCACCCTTTAGCCTGGCATCTTTGGTGTCAGAGATGCCAGCACTGATTAAAGATTTACATGGGCAGCCCGCATACACCGGCTGGAGTAACACAAGAGAGTGTGGCGAGGGAGGGGTAGATGACGAACAATAAGACAGCGCAAGGGAGGAGCGAATGAGGACTGATCCTGGGGGCAGTTAAAAATAGAAAAGGGAAGAGTGAAAGGCAAGCGGCTAAAGGAGAGTACAGTTGGGAGGGGGCGGCACACAGTTAGAGGCAAGGGAACCATTTTCCCAGTTATTTTTAAGCACATTTACAATACATTACTCCACATGAGCGGAGGGAAAAAAAACACTGGTTGGGTCGAAACGCTCAGAGCGTGTACGGCTAGGTGAGGACTGAGAGAGGGACATTTTTTATGAATGCTGCTGTATGGCCAAATGCCTCCATCTCATAACACACCCTGAGCAATGTCCGCAACACACGCTGGAAATGTGAATGAATGTGAGTCTTATTCAGAAAAACTCTACTTAGTAAAAAGACCTCACGTGTTTAGCGCCATTGTATCGCGTCACATGTAATATACAGTTTAACTACACCGTAAAAAAAAATCTGTGACATTTACGGTAAAATACCAGCAGCTGTGGTTGCCAGAACTTCACCGTAAAAAATATGGTAGAAACATTTTAGGTTTTAAAGACTTAACTTAAATTCACAATAAAATACCATATTTCATTAACCGACACATCCTGTCTGCAGAAAAGGTGCAAAAATACCTTGATTGGAGTAAAATTAAGAGCACTGTTCCACAATGACTATTCTGAGTAAAGCACAATCAACAAACTACATTAGCTATTTGATCGCCTTGCAATTCAAGGCTCTAACATGTTTAGAATTTCATAAAGTAGCCTTGTCCTTCACTTAAATGATGACAAATTTATGAAGAAATGTCAATGCATTATGTGTTCCTTAAACAATAACACAAATAGCTTAATATAAGATAAGGAATGTACCACCAGTCAAGCTCTTACTTGCTTACAGCGTTTAAAGAGAGAGATCACCAAAAATAAAAAAATGTGTCATCATCTTTGGGCGAACTATCCCTTTAAATACAATTTAATTCAAATATAACATCACAATATATCACACAACGATAAACAATATAAAAATAGAACAAAATGTAAGGCATTTGACTATTGTACAGATGATTCTCACTAAGGATGACAAACAAATGGTACATGACAAATGAACAAAATACATACTATATACTAAATGTGTCATTACTTGATCTTAAATTATGCTACCAGTGAAAGTTTGTAATCAGTAAGATTTTTTCATGTTCTTGAAAGAAGTCTCAGCTAGGCTGCATTTATTTCAGCAAAACTACATGAAAACAGTAATACTGTGCAATATTACAGCTTTTTTTTTTCTTTAATATATTTTAAAATGTAATTTATTCCTGTGATGGCAAAGCTGAATTTTCAGCATCATTACTCTAGTCTTCAGTGTCACATGATCATTCTAATATGCTGGTTTGGTGCTCAAGAAACATTTCTTCTTATTATCATGTGTTGTGCTGCTGACATTTTTTCAGGATTCCTCAATCAATAGAGAGTTCACACGAACACAGCATTTATTTAAAATCTTTTGTAACATTATAGAAGGCTTTACTGTCACTTTTGATCAAGTCAAAGCATCCTTGCACAAATGTTCTGACCGCAGACTTCTGAACAGTATTGTATAGCCTATATTATAAAATATTTTCACTTCATTTGCATTTTGAAGAAAAAGCTTATAGTAAAATGTAACACAACCTAACCTTCTGCAATAAAAGGGTTCAGGCACTTCCTAAAAATCCAGCACAATATTTCCTGCGATATAGCAGCACTAAGCCAGCATTCTGAGAGAAACATTCACAGATACTGAACATCATCTGTTAGAAAATGTCAGAGAAAAATCTTCGGAAGTTGATGCCAAAGCTAGTGATGAGTAATTTGGGTCAGTGTGATTCAAGTTATTTTTAAAGTATAGAGCTAAACAATGACGTTAAACAGCCCAGTGATTTAATTAATTTCTCACACAAACTGTACATTAGTCAGAAACAACCCCTTTCTAACCGGCATATGAAAAGCAACTGTGAAAAACAAAATGATCTTTCACTAAAACCACAAGGTTAGACAACCTGGAGAAGCATTTCAGTTTTGCGAACATGTGAGGTGGCAACAGGGAAACACCCCTTGTTAATTTCACATTAGTGACTGGCGGGTTATCACAAGCATGAAGAAAAGTGTTTTTCGTCAACCTTCTCAAGCTACATATCAAAAGATTAAATGCTGGAGTCTGGTCAACTGAGAAATGATCTTATAAGAGTGAAGACGCCCCCACACAACGCACACTGATGCTGCTGCCGCTAAATATTCTGAAGGCTAAAAAAAGAACAGGAGATTAAAAATACCAGGCAGGCACTGCAGCCTCGTCTGGAACAGCTGCAGCACTTGAATACAAACGAGCCTCAGCTTCCCCTGGCATCGCATGCACTGCACTCCTCCTCCCCGGGCTCACGGAGCAGGCCGTACATGCATCCGTACAGAGAACCCATGCATTTGATGCAGAATTTACTCCAGCTCAAATGTCACACTATGAGGAGCTAGTGAATGAACCAACAAGAATGAAGCTGTACAACAGGGTAAACACCATTATTTGGACCCGACTGTGTTGTATTGTGCTAACTGCTGCCAATAATAAAAAAAAATTTTTACACGTTGCGGCGTTCATTGCAGGTTTAGATTAAGTGATTAACAATATCAGATGAATATATTCATTACCGGTACTGTTCAAGCTACAGTTTACTTACTGATCCACAACAAGTCTATTTTTTTTTTTACCAAGGGGTTGTAACAAGTAGGCATAGTTCTCCACCAAGCCTACAAGTTTCACTCTTTTAAACCTGGAAAACTTGAGAAAAACAAAAGTGCCATCTCTCACTGCCCTTGGATGTTCCCATGTTTGCAGTGTTATGTAATAGCACACCCCTTTCCGTCCGCAGACCGGGATCCTCCCGCCTCATTGGATGCCGCAGTAGAGGATTCAAAGTGTCTCCTGGGCCCCCACTCCCAGTAACATGCTTCTTTAAATAGCACGTGGCGTGCCTCTCTCGACGGCTTTATTTGCTTCACATCAGCAGCGCTGTTCAAAAGGATGAGTTTAAAATCGGCTGCTCTAAAAATAGAGCGAGATGCATTTATTTTTCCCTGAGGCAAGATATTTTCAGAAAGGGGGAGAACTATGTGGATGTTTTCTGCGATCGAGTGTGCAGTACTGTAGCATTACAGCAATGCATAAATATAAGCATTCAGAACAGTGTGCAAAAGATGATAGAGCCTTCAATTAAAGCCACGTCAACAGAGAATTACAATCAATATCATATTACTTGTTGAAATATTGCATTATAATATATTCATAAATATGTCAAGTCATTGCGGTGAAATGCGCATGACTGTGCGAACATGTAATATGCACTTTTCAGTATTTTTGACTCAATTTCCCAGTAAATGACAAGCCACTGTACCATGCAAATTTATTGGAAAGAAGATGAATCACACATTTACAGCGGACATGGATGAGCTGTAAAGCTACACTTTCTCAGTTCATGTTCAGACATTAAGGAATATACAAGGAGACAGATATATATATTATTTTTAAAGTATAATTTTAAACTGACTGATTGATTAAAAAAAAAAAAGATCTATTGGTCTGTTTATCAGGTAATAATAGAGCAGTGTAAAAGCACCAGAGAAGTTGAGAGAAAGAAAGGATGCAGAGGAAACACTGTGCACACTGTTCCATGAGAAAGAGGAGGGAATGACAATAAAAGAGACGGCTAAATGGAGGGAGATAATGTGCAAAACAAGGAGACGAGGCACATGTTACAGAGGGTGCTCTTCATGAGAGATGTAAATACACACGAGAACTCAAATGTCCAATTGCAGCTCTCGTTAAGTCAACCAATTACATCCAACCACTCATTGAGCCAACAAATGCCTTCATTCACAAAAGTAGCTATACGCACTGACATGCAGATCATAATGGCAGAGTGATGAAGACAATGCCATTATTATCAAGACAATACCTGGTATTTCAGGGATAGTCAACCCAAAATTGAAAATTTGCTGTTAATTTATTAACTCTCAGGCCATCCAAGAAGTAGGTGACTTTTTCTTTAGTAGAACCAAAGTCCCTTTAAGGCAAGTCATTTCACTTGGCTGCCAGTTTTGAAACGCCTCTCGGGCATGTAAGTGCAGCTCCTATCTCTTTGAATGGGGAAACATCAAATTCTCCAAAACTGGTCACCAAGCTTACGATTAAATTTCATATTTGAAATCACCAATGAAATCTGACAGCAACTGCCCCATAAATGTTGTTTCTCATTCTCCAATAGCATTAAAAAGGCGTATTTTTCAGGCTAGACCAGCCAATGCGCATGCGCTGTCCTAGCACACGTCTCAGAACGTTGACCGTTTCTATAGCAACCGGAGCTTCTAACAGCAGCTGCAGTGACATGTAGACTTTATCAATTGGCGATTGACTCTTTTATTGAGAAGGCAGGACTATTCCTCCATATTGCGTATTACACTTTCTCCTATTCATAAGTAATAGGAATGCACCGTCTTTGGTATATCTAAAGTCTTTGGTAGAACAGTAAAGACGTTTTTAGCTGAAACTTTGGTGATTCATAAAATTCCACAGCTAACGTGACTTTAAGCGTCAAAAAAGCACATACAGGCATCACAAAATGAACAGCCGTGGCTCCTGACAATATATTGAAGAGGTGTTATGAAGCAAAATGCTTGGTCTATGCAAGAAAGCACCCATTAATAATGTGATGTTTTAAGTGAATAAACTAATCAACTCCCCTTTTTACATAAACCATGAGAAAAGCTTTCATTTTGTGCCTTCATTCAAGTGCTCAGTTCACGCATGCTCAAATCAGCAGCTCATCAGTTCTTCGGTCCGAGTTCGAACTGTTTCCCCAGTTCAGTAGACTGTTGGAGCAACTGGAGCACTGAATTAACTGACAAAAATTAGTTGGCATCATAAGATCATATATGCAGGTATGTCGGCTCATTTCAAGTCAGAGTAATTCCAAAAATGAGTTCTGATTGAGTAACTTGTAGATCTGTGCTGGCTACAGACAGGAGCTGTTTCAGGCGGTTAAGTCCAATTTGGTTAACTGGTTCAAAAGAACAATTTTCTCAAACGAACCAGACAGTTTGCCTAAGGCTATGGATTACAGGTAATAATGTTGTAAATAATGTTAAGTTTCTTGCAGAGACCGATTGTTTTGCTTCATAAGACCTCAACATATCATCAGGAGCCACAGGCATTAATTTTGTGTTGCCTGTATATAATTTTTTGACTCTGAGAAAGATGGTAGCCGTGGACATGCATTTTATTAATCACCATAATCTCCAAATCTTCTTTACTGTTGTACTGAAGATAAAAAGTCACCTAAATCTTGGTTGGCCTGAGGGTGAGTAAATTAAGAGCAAATTTTCATTTTTGGGTGAACTTTGTCCCTTTAAGACAACATATTTTAAAGTTAAAACAACCACATTTATTTTCTATGCATATTTCGTATCATTTTCTGCCTTATGTTTTATAATTGTGTCTGCTAAATGCCTTTGAGGGATTCTTCCCTCTGACATTTTTTAGAAATTACTTGTTATAATTAGGGCTGGGTATCGATTCAGATGTTCCAATTCGATTCGATTTCGATTTTCAAGCTCTCAATTCGATTCGATTTTCTATTCGATTTCGATTTTCGATTCGATATTCGATTCGATTTGACTATATGAATGAATATAGATTTAATACAAATCCTACAAAACGATATATCGAAAAATCGATTTTTTTGCCCAGCCCTAGTTATAATCTATGCAACACCTAATGAACAACTAATGGGAAGTGAAGCTTTCAAGCCTCAAAAAGATAGCGATTGGCGCTTTCGAAGCACTGCCTTGTGAAGCTTCGAAACATCTGAGAATCATTTATTTCGAACCAGTGGTTCGGAGCGCATACATATCAAACTGTTGAAGTCACGTGATTTCAGTAAATGAGGCTTTGTTACGTTACAAATGTTTCGAAATGATTCGAATCATTCATATTCACTGAGAAACAGTGCGAAACAACTGGTTCGGTTGATTCGAAGCTTTGAAAAAGTTCATTTCTCCCATCACTACAAAAAGATCCACTATATTAGTTTACATGATTTATGCACTATACACCAAGTCTTCTGAATGCACAGCTTTATATAAGAAACAAAAAAAATTTAAGTAGTTATTGGATGATAATTTGCTAATAACTTCTGTAAACAGATAACTGAATCAATTAGTTAAATGGATCAAGCAGTTCTTTGAAAAGATCTGACTTGAAAAACAAATGACACAAAGCTATCATATGGCTTTAGATGCTCTGTGTAAGGAACAGTCTAAATTTAAGCGGTTACTCATTAAAAATCTTCACAACCTCCCTAGCTCTCCTTGATGAAATCATAAGATAAGTATAAATGTGGGATTTATAAACTAATTATTCTTTTTGAATTGGATTTGGTTTACAAATCCAGTCATGAATGGTTCATTCATAAATGGTACCTGATAATTTTAAACCACTGACTCAATAACTGCAGAACCCTAAAAGATTAGCAGTGAAAACAACTTGAATTTCCATTTATTCTTAATGCAAAGCAATTGTATGAATTCAAATATCCTACTGGCTTTCATATAAGTTATTTTTTAAATATGCTTTTTTCAAGATTAAAAGGGGCACATTTATGAAGACAAATTTTATTTTTAATACATTTAAATACACCTAATTTATTATTTTCACTAAAGCTTTTTGAAAACAAGATAACTCATGTTTTATTTAGTTATTGATTTAGTGGTTATTTATAGTTATTATATGATGAGAGTTAGATCATTTTAATATGTTAATAATGATGCATCTTTCTTGGAAATTTGCTGAGACCCCCTTAAGAACCATTAAAGGGGTCATATGATGAGATTTCAATTTTTCCTTTCTCTTTGGAGTGTTACAAGCTCTTGGTGCATAAAGAAGATCTGTAAAGTTGCAAAGACTAAAGTCTCAAATCCAAAGAGATATTCTTTATAAAAGTTAAGAGTCAGCCACACCTACCTAAAACGGCTCGTAATGTACAGTATGTGGAAAATAATGTGTTTTTTGAACCTTAAACCGCATAAACACATTTCATTACACCAAATACACAAAATGTTATTTTTAGCAGCATCATATGACCCCTTTAATAAATAAAAAAACACTGCGTTTTTACTGAAAAAAAAATTGTTGTTTTTTTTCTGAAGAGCATAATTCTGGAAACTTCTGGAATCATACAATGAATCTTGGTTCATTGAATTAAAAATCAATATTATCGGTTTTTGTTAAAAAAAAAAAAGTTAGCAAAAAGTTAGCCTTGGAATGTTGTGATGGACAATGGGGGCCTCTGAATAAAAAAGGTTGAGAAGCACTGATTTATATTGGTCAAAACTAAATGCATTTAAGTATCACTAACAAATTCTCACAGATGACTGATAAACTATGACATGATCATTACTTGTTTTTGGAGGATCGACAGCTGCTATTTAAAAATGGTTTAAAAATTAACAACAGCAAGGAAGTCACTTGATTAGATATAAGCTGAAGTCAAAATCAGAGCAAAGCTTGTTGGTGGGGTGACGGGTCTAAACTCTACAGAATGATGGACTTTTGGAACTCCACATATGATAAGCACATGGTCAAAAGTCAGGTCTATGAATAAAGCAAAAAGACTCACTCTCCTGTGCTAAGAAGTCATTGGCAGAGTGTGCACTGGTTAACTCCAGATCCCTTCCACCCTGGTCAGCATCACCTTCATCCCTTTGTTACAAAGTACACCTCAGTTATGACCCAGAGCCATTATGACCTTGTGCTTCTATGAGCTTCTGCGCTTATGTTAAACAATTTACACTCTGAGAAACTAAAGACCCCATGAAATGGCTTGGCAATCAAGTTTTCTTGCCCATACTCATGCTGCTTAATTTCTTTTAAAAACAAGATGTTTGCTATGAACCACTGATTTGCTACTTGATATTGAAATCTGGCTGTACAGAGCAGATACATAGTGACTCACACTATTAAAAAGTTTTTGTTTTTTTTAACCAGGATTATTTAAAAGAAAAAAAAAAAGAAAAAAAGATTAACAAAAGCATTTTCCATTCAATTAATAAAGCTTGGTGCTCATTGTATGTCTATCTTTAAAGGTCCATAAGTTATAGTTAAAAATCCATTTCCCCATGGAGAAAATGAATAGACTTTTTTTTTTTTAAACTTCCGGAACTGCACCCATTAGAGAAGGGGTGACACTTAAGTTTAGGGAACAATTCTCACTATTAAATACTTGCTTATTAGTAAACAGATATAGGCTACACTAAAAAAAACTGACACAAAATTGCAATTTTTCTTTTTTCTTTTTTTTTTTACCACACAATATTTATCCATAGAGTAACATTACTGCACTTGTCTATATTTCTGTACTGCAATCATTGGTTCTGGTCCCTTTCAAGATCTATTCAAACAAGGGACACAGCACTGCACTGAAGGAACGAGAGCTTCAGCCAAAGCAGTAGACAGAGGACCCGGAAACAGTATTATCGTAATGTGGATAGTACGTCAAGCGGATTAGACGGTCTGAGTGTAAAAGTCATGTATAAAATGTGTAACAAAAGAGGAAAAAACTAAAGCTCCAACCTTCATCTTGACATACAAAAAATGTTGTATAAATAGCTGCACACAAGCGAATATCATACGACCACCATCAAATTACAATGCTGACACACAGTAACTGATGGCTGATTGTTGAAGCGGCGTGCCTGATGATAATAATGAAAGCGTTCGCGACATCTGTCATTGCAGTGTGCGTACCAACCTGCCCATTTCCCGAGTTTGGTCGCCCTCATCAAATTTCCATTGCCCACAATCCACACGCGAGTCCCGTTGAGCAGACAGCACAGAGTGCTCACCGACACCCAGGCCACAGTGACAGCACCGATCCAGTACAGTGCATCTGTCAACAGCTCCATGATAACACAATAAGTGGGCCTCGGTGTCTCACACACGCAAGATCACAACTGTTTTCACTGTTTGCTACAAATACCGATAGACGTGATGCTGCACGCTGTCGGCTCGTTGGTGTGCAGGATTCAAGCGCATCCGCTTCCGCATTAATTACGTATTGTTGCGTTTCCTGCAGACTGCATTCTGATTGGATGTAAGTTCTGTTCGTTAGCTCGTCACCGCCCACTATCTCATGTCTGTCAGCAGCGAAAGGCTGAAGATTAAAAGTGTGAATAAAACATTGAGATGCAGGAATATGGACGTCTCAAATGGTTGGTCCCCGAGAGGAATTAAAATAACTTAAAGGGGTCATATGATGCTTTTTTAAAGATCATTATTTTGTGTATTTGATGGAATAAAATCGCTGTCAAAAATAATCGTACGTAATTCTAAGCATTTGTGTGTCATTTTAATTTACTCGTGCGTAATTTAAAAGTTACGATTATTTTTGACAGCGATTTTATTCCATACTCTCCTAGGTTCACGAAACGGTCGTCCATAAAATGCATTGCTGTTCTGTTGTAAGTAATCTTAAAGATTCCTAAATGCATCTACTTCCGGAAGGCCAAATAAAGTGCTTTTGCTTTCGCCTAGAAACACACAGCGTCTCCCTGACATGGCTGCTTCAACACTAACTGCGGTTACTGAAACCACGCCTTCTTTCTTTGCGTGCACATTTGGGCGGCATTATGCAAATATTTCCACATAGTGAGGTAGATATGTGGGGGCGTGTTAGAACGAGCCGTTTTAGGGGGGCGTGGCAGAGTCTTAACTTTGATAAAGAATATCTCTTTGGTTTTGAGACTTTAGTCTTTGCAACTTCAGGGATCTTATCTATGCACAATCAGCTTGTAACACTCCAAAGAGAAAGGAAAACTTGAAATCGCATCATATGACCCCTTTAAAGCTTGGTCGGAGTGATACGATTACAGACGAAATACATACTTAGATAAATCTGTGAATTTATTTATTTTTCTAACAGCAGTGGACTGACAACGGGTTTTAACTTTAAATGCTGTTTCTTATTTGATAAATTATTTAATCAATAATTTGTATTATATTGTAATGTGCAAAACATGACATATAAAATAGAAAATACACCAGTGCCTTTTTAAGAATTCCGTGTTTAATTATAAGTGAGAATCTTGTTCCTGCAGGCTGCAAAGGATGAAAATTTCATATTGTTGTTGACTAAAGCTGCAGTATCACAATTCATATAATAGCTTACATATGTATGTATGTATGTATGTGTGTGTGTGTGTGTGTGTATGTATGTATCATATACTTCTTCAGATACATGATACTGAAAAAACCTACACAAACACATACATTTCACAGATGTTTGATTAAAACACCACATTTAGAAACAATGTTTAGAAAAATGGTTCTAGATGGTACCAGAATGGGGTTCTTCGGCTTGTAATAATAGCCAAACCCTTTTTGGAGTTAAATAGAACCCTTTTCCACAAAGAACCATGCTTTGAAAGCATATATATAATTGTTTCTTAATGTTGTTTAACCTGGCTGTCTGCCTGGTCTTATTATAGCCTCTATTAGGGTTTTGCCTTGAAAAAAATGGCAAACCGTGTCAGATACTTTTACTTTGTTATTGATGTGAAATTGTAACAAAATGACAGTGATCTAACAGTAACAACAACACTGAACATGAATAAATACATAAAGAAATAAAACACAAAATAAATGCAATGAAGACAATGTAAAGAAGTTCCAGTGAATTATCTTCACAATCCTCTATGATGCCTTTATGTCCATCGTTATGTATTTTGAGTGGCAGTTTCTCTCTGCAGATGGTCAAGGTTGTGGGATGCCACAGCATCAGGATAGAAATACAATACAATTATGTTTAAGTTTTGTTTTTTGTGACTGGTCATGTTTATTCATAAACCCAAGAAGTAATTTAAAATTCTAACAATATGGATCATAAATTCAATATCACTGTTACTTATAGTGGAGAAGAGGACAGAAGTATCCTTAGCTGAACAGAGCTGCTCGCACTTGACTGGTAGAAAATCAGTTACAATTCGAAAGTAAAAATTCATAGACATTTTACAAATAAAATAATTTACCTGTCGAGATGTCTGTTGACAGTCTGTGATGTTGGATGGTTGAGCTCCAGAAATGTAGTAATGAGGTGGCATTGACAGTTACAGATTTGAAAAAAATAAAAAGGTGGGAATTTAAAAACCCTAAACCCCAACACAAAGAACCATTTCAGCATAAAAGAGTTCTTCAGGATGATATGAATCTAAACAGAACTGTTACTACGTGTAAAGAACTTTTAAAGAACCATCTTTTTTAGACTGCAGATTTACATGCCTATAACACACATGCACTGCAAGAGCTTCCTGCAGTTTGTGAGTGAAAACTTGAGTGAATGTGTGTGGTTCAGCTATACCCTAAATTATGGGAACAAAATATCCACACAAAGATGGCAATATCCCAAATCCCCATTTTGGTCCCCATGAGGAAATCAGCTTATAAATCATGCAGAATGAAGTTTTTTGATAATCTAAAAATATAAGGGGTTGGTCGGGGTAGGGTTAGTATAAGGGAAAAAAATAAACAGTTTGTACAGTATAAAAACCACTGCACCTATGGAATATCCCCAGAAAACATGGAAACACAATGTGTGTGTGTGTGTGTGTGTGTGTGTGTACCCAAAAGTGTTCAAAACCTGACAAAATCTCCAAAAACCTCCCTTTGGGGACATCCTCATTTGTAAAACTGGTATAAAAATAAAGTAAACAAAGTTTATTGAAATTGTAAAAATGCAGAATGTTTTCTGTTAGGGGTAGGGTTAGGGTTAGCTTATAAAATGTATAACTATCTGTATATAAACACAACAGAAGTCTATGTAATATCTAAATTTAAGTAAGTGTGTGTGTGTGTGTGTGTGTGTGTGTGTGTGTGTTTGAGGTTAAGTTTGAAGATAACTCAGCAGTCAAAGTAACATGTTTAATGAAAAGATTCAAAATAGTTAATATGTTTTTAGGTGATATTTAACAAAAAATACTAATGAGATATTTCAGGCAAATATTATGAACATCTTCTAACTTCTGTAGAAGTACTTAACTATTGTCTGTTTATTATTATTATTATTATTTATGTTGTTATTATTATATATTTATGTTCTTATTGGTTCCCACTAATAACCCACCTTTTCTCAAATTTAGCGTGCTTTACCTACTGCATATAATTGCTTCTGTTTTCTCTCACTTTTGTCATGTTTTTTATTTACTCATGTACAATGTCTGAAATAAACATGTTTTTGTTTTCAAAAATGCTTCATGCAGAACACATGTACATTCAAAGTAAGTGCATTTTTCTTTTCACAGTGAGCGCATCTTCATTTTCACAATACTGGTATTTGTTTTTTAGGTAGCTATATTACTCATCAGTCAGAACAACAAAATGTATAAAAAGAAGTGCAAACAACAAAAGACAATGCTGATTAAGAAAACTGTAATCAGTGGGCAGGTTAAGACACAAGACATGGATAAATAGTTTAAATCTCATGTCCTTGAACATGGATGCACACACCTAAAACACACATGTACATCATAAAAAACTTCCATTATATTAAGTTTTATTACCACAGACTAAGCTTAACCCAAGCCGTAAAACATTTTTTTATTATTTAAAAACACATTCATTACTTTAAGTAACATTAAGTCCCAGGGACTTTTCAGTCATTTTGTCCTCAAGGATTGACACACAGATTATTGATGCAAATAGTTTCTATGAAGCTTACAGTGCTTTGGGAAACACAGGCCAGATCAGTGTTAATTTGGGCATTTTAATAAACCATAAACAGCATTTACATGATGGGACAAAATGTTTTTCATGCATCTGTTGTTTATGAAGGTATGACTGCACAAACTGTAGGACAACTTGTTTAACATTTTATATAAATGCCTATATTGAGTGTTCTGATTGAGCTTTAATTTTTAATATGCCACAGTCAAAATTAAACTAACACATAAATGTGTCTGGCTCTTTTGGTTTGTATTGGCAATCCTGGCTCCATATTTGACCATATGTTAGGTGTCAGACAGAAAGGACACAGGTATGACTAAATTTAGTCAGTTTAAATTGTTTTATGACTTTTAAAAGCCCTGATTTAAGTATACAGACGATAAAAGGATGAGCAAAAGTCAGGAATTCACATTATTACACACAAAATGGAGAGTAACAATTATATAAACAAAACGCTGGAAAGCTGACATTTCCATGTTTTCAGATTACATGATGTGGATGGTCAGATGGGAATGACAGCCAAAATATTTTAAACAGGTAAAGATGTGACCGATTAGTCTCAGTGTGTCTGTGTGAATGTATATGTATGTGTATGTTAAATATGCCAAATTCCCTCCAACCTCATAGATTTGTTTTTGAGGGGGCGTGAAATTACATAATATCATCAAATCTACATCATTTAAAATGATTTTTAATTGTAAAAATTAGGATAATAACAAGCATAAATGTTCAAGACAAAAATCTTTGAAGAATATTTGAACTGAGAACAGACATAACAAATAAACTGCATTTTCAGTCATTTATTTTTTGTTTGAGTACTTAAGTATTTATATACAATATTGTTAGGTGCATAAAGCTGCAGGTTTTAATGCAACTAAATTCATGAAAGGTAGTGAATGTGGTCACTAATGTCACTAATAATGTCACTAATAACAGCAATTAAACAAAATAATTCAAATAAAATGACTTATAATTTATGAACATTGTTGTTAGCAGAAGATCTCTCAGATAGTATAAGTAATTATTTCAAACAAAGTCCATTTTACATTTTTTAACATGTTTTAGTAGTTGCTCCAGTCTGATTCAGCTCATTTCAATAATCCATATGAGTTATATGTAAGTGGAAAGGGAAGATGTTTTAGGTTACATTTTTTTAACATTCTAGATCATTTTTAGATGCCTTCTGAAAAGAATGTATATGGGTAAAATGTCATTACAAATACCTTTAAAGAAGTATCTTTATTATCAGATTACAGTCATTCAATGTACAGTATTATGTATAAATTCAGTAGCTCTGAAAATATATAATTTATAATTTAAAATGTCAAAATATAAAATCT